ACAGAAAGGTTAAGAAAAAGATATGTGATTCTTTTACAATAGATAAGAACATTTTAGGAACATGTTTCAAGCCCAAAGAGGTACCATATTTCCAGAATCATCCTTTGGAACGGGTTAAGAAAAACAAGTGAAGTTATCATTAGAGCTTTGAAAATTGTAAAGAAGTGCGATTGTTCTGATACTTCATTATTCATTTCCATTCCATTCCCAGCTCTGCTCTATAGCGCATTTGGTGTTGTCATAGAAAAAACAAGAGGTGCAGAAGATGACATCAATACAGTAGCAGCTGGAACCATGACAGGAATGTTATATAAATGTACAGGTGGGTACTGGTTTCAATTTCAGGTTTGAAATTGACATTTAGTTTATGAATGTTTGATGTAAAGCTGTCTACTGTTTTTAGGAAGCAAATTGCGTAATTATTGCCATAAATGTCAGGCTTTAGACTATTTATGGAACAAAAGAGGATATGAGATTCTCATTCCTGTGTGTCAGCCTGTGTGATTGGCACAGCTGATTGTTGGTCTAGCACTATTTCTTCAATCTTTTGCTGGATCTATGTTCCCATCAATGTAGTTACTGCTCCCTGTTAAGTCCAATCAAGAGCTTACTTTGTACCAAGTATTGTAGCAAAGTTCTAGGAATAAGCCAAGGCAGTTCCTGCCCTCGGGGAGTTTCCATTCTATTTGAGAAAGCTGAACAACACATAAAAGAAAACTATTGGGGGAGAGGAGAGCGGGGCGACGAAGAAGAGGCCAGGCCACAGAGGGAGGGGTATTTCCAAAGTGTGAAATCCAGGAGTGGAGCAAGCTTCTAGAGTAAAGAGGTTTCTGGGACATAGTAGAGAAAGTCTAAATGAGTCAGCAGGGTAGCCTGGAAAGGGATAGAGTGATCTCCAGTGATGGCCCTCCGTGGCATGCCAGTCCATACCATGTAGCAGTTTTCCTCTACCTTTCTTCATGTAAAGCGCTTAGCACAAGGCCAGGCACATAGCGAGTGCTCTGTGAAAGCACACATGTATCATTGTCGTAGATCATGAATCAGAAAGGAGTACATGTCCTCTCCCTCAGTTATCCTTTATCCTCACTATGCTAGGACTTTGATGTCAGAGTACGAATATTTTGGATCCACTGACCTTGACAGTGAAAAGAATATATTTTTTAAAATACACAGATCTTCCCTACTTTTCATGTTTGTCCTCTCAACTTCATTCTTTGCCCTGGGATTACTTAGCTTTTTTGAGTCTGAGTCTGTTTTGACACTGGCTGCCATAGCTCTCAACTTGGCAAAGAGACCAAATGCTTTCTCATTGACGTGGTTTCTGATGTGTTTGTTCCTTCATCCATTTCCTATCACCAGCTTGTTTAAGTTAAATTGGAGTTATTTTAATTATACACCATATTTTTTTCTCATTTTTTATTTCTCAGTTTTGTATTGTTTGCTCTTTGGTCTAACTATACAAAGAGCTTAATCAGGAATGGCTCCATATCATTAAGGAATCATTTCCTGTCAAAATATGATTGGTTAAGTTCTTTATGTTATTTTTGTTCACTATGTTACTTTCCAGTTCTTTTCTTGAAGAAAATAGTCGTGCTGTATGGATGGCATGACATTTTTACATATTATTCTGTCTTATTTTCTTGTTTTCTTCCTACTCTTGAATCATATTTTCCAACTTATTTTATGTTCCTTCTCGATGTCCACTCTTGCTTTGAAATCACCAAATTGCAAAGTATATATTGATTTAATTTGGAGTTTTATTAAATGTTTCAGAAAAGTTCTTTACTTTGTCATCCTCTGTTTCAAATGTTGGTACATTCTATTACAAGTGTTCATCCTGAGCATTGAGGTATGAGATGAGCCAGTGTCCAATGAAATGTTTATTGTAGCTTCTGGACTCAGAATAATACTAGATCTATGAGCAATTTTTTTATATACCTGTAAAACTAGAGTAATAGAAAATGCAAAACTACAGCCCTGGACAACTCAGAATTGCTAAGTTTTTCAGCAGTCCACACACATATGTAAAACTTTCGGTTTCTTTCTTCTTGATAATTTTCGTAGATCACTCTTTAGGATTGGATTTTGTTTTAGAGAAGAGGATTTATCTTTTTTGAGAAGACCTATGATTAATGAAAGTGTATGTTAACCACAATTCAAATTTTTAAAAGTACTATTTCTGACTTAGAGTTTGGCTCAGTTCTTTGACACAAGATTGAGTAGCTGTTAGCAGTCCATCGGAAGACTTATGCCCATAAAAGTGTTATGGCACAGAAATTAACTTTCTATTTAATCTACTGATCATTGTCAGCATTATGATGACCACTAGCACTGGTGTTGGGAAGTACTTCTGTAAATAAATGAAAAGCATTTGCTTTGGTCGAATAATAGTGGTCTGGGAGCATACAACCCATCTGTTTCTTAGTGTAAATTATTTTTAAACTGTTGACACTTGTTCTGTCACTATTTAGTGCATTATGTTTAATGGCCCAATAAAGAAATGGATGCATTTTGACTGATCCCATGAGAAAATACAAAACTATGGAATTCTAATTAAAAGGTAACACAGCCACAAGTTGTGGTTTTCCTGTACTATTCAAGTACAAATTAAAATGATGGCCTGGGAAATTCAGAAATTCTGTAATGGCTCTAATAGCTACTGCTATGAAATATTTGTTCTTCTCTACTCCTAGGTAAGGTATAAGGTACAGGACACAATAAAACCATAGTAATTTCAGACCTCAACTGTGAATTTCAAAACTATGGATAGACTGTTTCAGGTAGGGTGTCAACAGTGGAGTGGAACCAATAGCTTTCACTGATAGGTTGGGTCAAGAATTAGGTTGTGGGATAATCTGCAAATTTTGTATATTTCAACAGTAACCTGCTAACCCTGAAAACTACGTAACTACATTAGCATGATAGGGCTTTGTCCAGCTTTTGGAAAGATGTATACTAAGAGAGAACTGCCTGCCAAATCGGATGGGTGGAGGAATAAGCTCATAGCAACACTTCACGGATACAACCTAGAAGTCCCATGTAGGAATGAAACAAGAGAGCTATAAGAAGTCTAGAAAAGAGGAAAGTCACTCCTTAGTGCTTTAATGATTGGGTGTATGGATGGACATGGATATAATAGATACTCGCCTTCTCAAATAACCTCTCCACAGCTACCATCCCACTCCTAGGGCAGGATCTGGGTATTTGCATGCTGGTCCAAAGTTTCACATCTGATCAGAGATACTAAATTGTTGTGACATGCCTTTCTTGAAAAGTTTCCGTAGTATTTGTTTTTCCTTTTCTGTCATTTCCTTTGACCGTAGTTACATTGTAATCTCTAACCTGGGCCACAAGGCCAAAATGTAATAAAAACAGCAAAGATTTATTTTGACATAGGAATTTTAATTAAAAGCCAAATGAAGATTAATTGTAGTTAATGACCTTTTTGTTTAACTTATCATTGAGTGAATCATTGGGATTAGTGTTATTAGTGAGAGGTAATAAAATATAGGTTGTTTGTTTAGGTTAAGAAGGAACTTTAATGATTCACATCCAAGGTATTTTAAAATTACTCCATGCAATGCATAGAGCTAGAAGAGACATAAAGATAAGGTTTCTGTCCTCAGAAATCCTTTTGGGGTGGTGACAACACGTAGGCTAACCAATATAATACAAATAATGATAAATGCAAATGCTTTGAGATCACATGAGTAACCACATCAGCAGGGAAAATCTGGGAAGGCTATATTGAAGCTAGTTGTATTTGAGCTGGATCTGAGTTGTGTGGGAGATGACTTGGATCAGTCAGTCAACAAGCATTTATTAAGCTCCTCCTTTGTACCAAGCACTGGGCTAGACCCTGGAAATAAAAATACAAAGAATGAAACAATCCTTCCTCCTAAGAAGCTTCAATTGTAATGAAGAGAAGTAGTATGTAAAGAATAAGTATAATGAGACCAAATATCAAGTTGTTAAATGTAAAGATGCAGGCATGTGGGAGACCAGGAAATGCTTCATGGATAAAGTGATCAGTGAGCTTCATCTAGAAGGAAGAAAAGAATTCTGTGAGATAGAGGTGAGAAGGGAGTACCTGAGAGATGGCCAGGACAGAAACATAGAAATGAACAATGAAGTGTTGTATGTGCAAAACGGAAAGAAAGCCAGTTGGTCTGGGTCCACTTGTAGGAGGAGTAATGTCCAGTGAGGCTAGAAAGATAGGATGGGCCAGGTTGTAAAGGACGTTAAAAACTCAACAAGAGGAGTTTATACTTTGCACCACAGGCAATCTGTCCAAAAGCATTTATTAACCCTTAGAATGAATGCCAAACACTATCCCAAGTATACAAAGAAAGGCAAAAAAGTCCCTGTTCTCAAGGAGCTCACATTCTAACGGAGGAAACAACATGTAAACAGCTGCATACGCACAAGAAACATACCAGACAAAGTGGAGGTAGTTGCAAAGGGAAGGCACTAGCTTAAGAAGCAGTGAGAAAGGTTTGATGAAGGAGGTGGGAATTGAGCTGAAACTTGGAAGGAAGCCAGGAGACGAAGATGAGAAGGGCGAGTGTTCTAGGCATAGAGGATAGCCAATGAAAATGACAGAATCAGAAGATGTATGCCTTGTTTGAAAAATAGCAAGGAAGCCAGTGTCACTGCATCACAGAGTCCATAGGGAGAAGTATAGGAAGATCCAAGGTTATGAAGGCTTTAAGAGCCAAACAGGATTTTGTATTTGATCTTGGAGGGGGACAGGCCTCAGGTAATGGGGTCCGACCTATACGTTAGATCACTTTGATAGCTGAGTGGGTATCTGGACTAGAGGGGTAGAGACATGAGGCAAGGAGACCAATAATAAGTTTGTGTAATACAGTTCAGGCATAGAGGTGTTCTGCCCCAAGGTGTCCCTTCCTCAGTTCAGTGCCTGGCTCATCGTCTTTCCCTCCTCCCCATGAGGGATCTCTCATGAGTATGCTCTCATACTGGGGACTGCAACATATATATTGATACTCCCTCAAAGACCCTAACATTCTAGTTCCTCAGCTTATCTCCATTTACCTACTCCTCCACCCCACCTGGGCTTCATACAGAGGTGGTTATTTGCAATAGATCTAGGATTTTGAATTCTGAAATTCCCTCATCTGATCACAATATGTTGTCATTCTAATTCTCCCTCTATGTTGCAACCCCAAACCTTGTTCTTCATCTTCATAATGACCTTCACTCTCTAGACCTCTCAGTTCTTTCCCAGGCCATTACCCCTGCACTAGCTATACTCCTTCCTTTCCCATCTTGGTCCCTTGGGAAACCATTTCATCTCTACAC